TGAGGGTATAAATCTCACCTCTAGACTGATGACTGCCAAATTTATGTTTTTCACACTAAATTCTAACCCATACTCTACCAGAATTCCAGTTGCCTGTTGAATTTTCACTGGATGTCTAATTGTCACAGTCCCAAGTTACTGAAAATGGCACTTGATTCCTACAGAGTTCTCAGTGTCAGACCCTCTTGTGTCCTGTCACTGGGAAGAAGAACAGCATTGCCCTCATTTCAACAAACCCATTATTAAAGCACTCCTTCAGCTTCTGCCTTAAGTTCCTATCTCTATAGGCCTCAGACACAAATCCAAAGTACCAAGCTTTTCTCCCCATCTCCCATCACATCCAGTCACAACTTTCATGCTAACCCTATATATAAATCTGTTTATATCCCACAGGCCTATATATAAATCTGTTCAGGTTTACAGTAATATCACCAGCAGATTAATTTCCCTCTTCTCTTCCCCCTTTCCTCCTCCTCCTCTTCTTCTTCTTCTTCCTCTTCTTCCTTCTCCTCCTCTTCTTCTTCTGCTCTCTGTCTCTCTCCCTCTCTCTCTCCTATCCCTATTAACTAGAAAACCACATAGGCTTGTTCGTTCCATTTATAGTATATAAGAGCTCCCAAAGAAAATTATACCCATGAGCCTTGAGATTTCTAATTACAGAACAAATAGTGTTTCTCCTCATTGGAAATAGATGGGATGACTATTGCTTATCCAAACATGGAATGCAAGGCTTTGTATGTCCATTCCCAGAAGATGAGTGATATGTTTGCAACAAAGGAAAAGGCTATGTAATTTCTGCACATTCTTTGTTAAATGCCTTTAATTGTTTATAATCATATCTTGGTTTTTTTTTATATGACTATAAAGCACAGGGAGATTTTGGAGTCTAATCATAGTTGACTAAATAATTCAACCCATCCCACCAACAACAGAAAATAGAAAAAAATGAATAACGTATATAAAATACTGACTTGGCTGGATCAAAGAGCTAACAAGTTTGTCAAGATGACTTGTCCAAGATATTGAAGAAGTCATAAATTCAAAGAGATTAGCCAAATATTGTTCTTTTTTTTTACCCTGATGGCATTTGCTAACTTTGGGTAAAGTGGCTGAGATTCAAAAGAACATTTTTTTGATAGGTTCATGCAGCTAGGGTAACAAACTTAAGTGGAGGCCTCCCAATGATAAGGGGTCTAGTGACCCTTCCATCTTTGAGTTGGCACTCCAAAGAGCTGTAGCTAGGAGAACCAGGAGTGGAATCCCAGCTTTAAGTCAACTGAGTGGCCCAGAAAATACTATTCTTTGAAACTAGATTAATAAGAAACAAAGGTTAGTGCTTACAGACAATTTTTAAAAATCCTACCTGGAAAAAGGCAATATCTTTCATGTTCTCAAATAATTTCTACAAACAATTTTTCAAATATAACATTGAGATAAAACCCTAATATAAGCAAACACAAGAGAAAGCGAAAGAACATAAACAAGAATAAGGATAAACAACAAACAAGAGAAACAACGCCATAAAGTTTCCAGAGACTGAATTAATCAGATATGAATTGTAAACAGCTATGCTTTTTTATTGAAAATTTTATAAGCCAGAATTTGTCAGTGAGCCAGAAACTATACACAGTAATTAGAAAATTAAAAAAGAAACAAATAGAAATTCCAGAATTGAAAAGATAGGAATCAAAATTAAGAACTCAGTTGATACGTTTTATAGCATATTAAACTCAGCCAGAGAGAGAGTCTGTAAACCGATAGGTCAGTAAAAAAGAAAAGCCTTTAAGAATAAAGTAGTCCGGGCTCGGTGGCTCAGCCTGTAATCTCAGCACTTTGGGAGGCCGAGGAGAGTGGATTGCCTGAGCCCACGGGTTCAAGACCCACCCGGGCAACTTGGCCAGACCTTGTCTCTACAATCAATCAAAAATTAGCAGGACATGGTAGCACTCGCCTGTAGTTCTGGCTACTTGGAAGGCTGAGGTGGAAGGATCGCCGGAGTCCAGCAGGTCGAGGCTGCGGTGGTTGTGAGCAAGCCACTGCACTTCAGCCTGGGAGACACGAGTGAGACTCCAACTCAAAAAAAAAAAAAAAAGAGTAAAGTAGATTCTGTGGCAAATTTAAGCTTAATTAGAAAACAAAAAGAAACAAATAAATACAGAACAGAAAAAGAGAGACAAGACAGAATTCAGAGTGTGATGATTTTTAAATACATTCACAAATTATTTGATACTCATCCTTTCAAAAGGTAGAGGCTAATTCCTCTTCCCTTGAGTGTGGGCTGGACTTAGAAACTCACTTCTAACACAGAATATGGCAGAAGTAACAATGTGTGGCTGTTACAACTAGGTCACAAAAGGCACTGCAGTTCTTTTCCTTGAATTCTCTCTCTTGTATCACTTAGTCTGGGGAAGCCCGGATGTCACATCATGAAAACACTCAAGCTGCCTCATGGAGAGGCCTATGTGGTGAGGAATTGAGATATCCTTCCAGTAGACATATGAGTGAACCATCATGGAAGAGAATCCTTCAGCTCCAACCAAACCCTTAGATGACTACAGCTGACTAACATCTCTACTATGATCTCATAAGAGAGCTTGAGCTGGAATGGTGATTGCTCCTTAATTCCAGATTCAGAGAAGCCACGAGATAACTAATGCTTGTGTTTGTCTTTTTTAAAAAGTTTAGATTCAAGGGATATGTGTGCAGGTTTGTTACATAGGTATATTGCCTGATTGTGAGGTTTGAGATCCTACTGGGCCCGCCCCCGCTGACAGTGAGCATGGTATCCAATGGGTGGTTTTTCAACTCTTATCTCCCTTCTCACCCCCCCAACTTTCGGAGACCCCAGTGTCTGTTGTTCCCACCCTTTTGCTCATGTATACTTAGTGTTTGAATCTCACTTATAAGTGAGAACGTATGGTATTCCGCTTTCTGTTTCTGTGATAACTCAGAGTGACGGCCTCCAGTGTTTGCTGTTTTAAGCCCTTAAATTTTGGGGTGATTTGTTACTCAGTCATAGATAACTAATACATAGGGCAAAAGAAAGCAGATTCAGTAGGAAATTTTTTCATGCATCTTAGTAAGTTTTCAAAAATCAAGAAGAGACAAAATGTGGTAAAAGTAATGCTTGAAGAAATGTGACTGAAAATTTTTCAAAGTTAAAACAAAAATCCATAGGTTCTTGAAGAAAAATTACCCACAAGAAAGGCAAATTTTTGAAAACCACATGTAGGTACATTATATTAAAACTGCTGAAAAACTGAGATAAAGGGAAAAATTTTAAAACATCCAAAGAAAAATGACAAGAGTACAAAATTAGACTAAGACTTTACATTTTACCAGAACACAATGGGAGTCAGAGACAATGAAATGCTCTCTCTACAGTAGTAAAATAAATTAGCTACTAATATTTAATTCTGAGGACTAAGCTCTGGACTTTTTTCTTCACCTTGCCAAATTCCTAACTAAGGGGACTGGGGAGACTGGGATTTTATTAAACCCTCCCTCATATAATACAGTTTACTTCCCAACCTGACTCTAGTATAACATCACATAACAAAGAAGGAAAATAAAAGTATTTTATGACTCTGTAAAGCTGTTTTTTTGGAGACTGCTGGACCCTTGTCACCTTTTAAAACATCACCTGTTCTCTCTGAAGTCTGCCACCCATATGGCTTCATGTACGTATCAAAAAACTTGACTCCCTCATCATTCCGCAAGTCACTCATTTTCTATACTGATTTCAAAATACCTTAGATAAGTGCCTGATTCTTGCTACTAATTGCCAGTCAGGCAATCTTTGAATCCACTTATTCCCTGCAAGTCTCTGCTTGGAGATGTCCAGTCTTCCTGGGCCGAACCAGTGAAAATCTCACATGTATTGATTTATGGTTTTCTGTCCTCCTAAAATGTATATAACCAAGCTACAATTCAATCACAGCAGGCACACCTACTTAGGATCTCCTGGGGATGGATGTCACAGACCTAGATCACTAATATTTGACTCAGAATAAACCATCTTAAATATTTTACAGAGTTTGACATATTTCATTAACAACTCTACACATAGTAAATTTTTCTTCTAGAAACAAAACAAAATAAACATATTTTCAAATAAGCAAAAACTGTAGGTAATCAATAGGCCTGCACTAAAAAATATTAAAAGTGTTTCTTCAGGCAGAGGGACTATGACCACAAAAAGAGACATGGAATGTAGAAATGAAAAACAAACAAAAAACCCAAAAAGCAATAGAAATGGCAAACATCTAGATGAATTTTAATGAATATAGACTATGTAAAGTTACTGTATAAAGTTTCCGGTGTTTAAAATATATGCGAAATGAAAATACATGACAACATAACACAAAAGACAGAAAGGAAAAAAGCCTTTTAGGATAGGGCAATAGTGCTAATTTGTATGAGATGTTAATAATTCAAAGAGTCATGTGGTGCTATCAAAGTTAACCAGTAGAACCGTAAAAGAGTGTGTAACCAACAAATTCAATAGAGGGGCAGACATTGAATTTTAAAAACAATGAAAAAGCTTGACTAATCCTAAAGACGGCAAGAAAAAAAAGGGCAAGGAGACCATGAAAAGGGGAGTCAAATAGAAAACAATAGGATATCGTAAGTTGATTAAATATAAGTGGTCTACACAGTCAAATTAAAAGAGTATGGATGTCAATTTTTTTTTTAACTCCAGGGGGTATGCTGCTTATGAGTATATTAAATATAAAGAAATGTGACTGAGAGTGAAATTCAGTGAAAGATACAGCATGTAAAGGCTAACCAAATGTAAATTGGTATAGACATCAATGTCAGGGGAAAGAAATTTTAAGGCAAGAAGTATCCGTAGAAATTTTTAAAAAATGCATAAGAATAAAAGATCAATCCAACAAGAAGATAAAATAATTCTGGAGTAAAGTTCCAGAGCGGAGAGAGTGAGGAGGCTGCGTCTGGCTCCCGCTCTCACAGCCACTGCAGCACATTGAGCTCCGTAGAGACAGCGCCGGGGCAGGCGAGAGCCCGACGGGCACTGGGCGACTCGGTGCTGCGCGGAGGAAAAACAACCGAACGTGGGCAAAGGAGATGCCAAGAAGCCTAGAGGCAAAATGTCATCATACGCGTTCTTTGTGCAAACTTGCCGGGAGGAGCACAAGAAGCAGCATCCGGATGCTTCCGTCAACTTCTCAGCGTTTTCTAAGAAGGGCTCAGAGAGGGGGAAGACCATGTCTGCTCAAGAGAAGGGAAACTCTGGAGACATGGCAAAGGCCGACCAGGCCCGTTACGAAAGAGAAATGAAAACCTAGATCCCTCCCAAAGGGGAAACAAGAACGATCAAGGATCCCAACGCGCCCAAGAGGCCTCCCTCGGCCGTCTTCTTGTTCTGATCTGACTATCGCCCCCAAATCAAAGGAGAGCACCCCGGCCTGTCCATCCGGGATGTCGCCAAGAAGCCGGGAGAGACCTGGAATACCGCTGCTGCGGATGACCAGCAGTCTTACGAGAAGAAGCCAAGCTGAAGAAGAAATAGAAAAGGATATTGCCGCCTTCCGAGCCAAAGGCAAGCCTGATGCAGCGAAAAAGGGAGTCGTCAAGGCGGAAAAGAGCAAGAAAAAGAAGGAAGAGAAGGAAGATGAGGACGAAGAGGACGAGGAAGAGGAGGGAGAGGAGGAAGATGAAGAAGACGAAGATGAAGAAGATGATGATGATGAATAAGTTGGTTCTAGCGCAGTTTTTTTTCCTTGTCTGTAAAGCGTTTAACCCCCCTGTACACAACTCACTCCTTTTAAAGAAAAAAATTGAAATGTAAGGCTGTGTAAGATTTGTTTTTAAACTGTACAGTGTCTTTTTTTGTATAGTTAACACACTACCAAATGTGTCTTTAGATAGCCCTGTCCTGGTGGTATTTTCAGTAGCCGCTAACCTTGCCTGGTACAGTATGGGGGTTGTAAATTGGCATGGAAATTTACAGCAGGTTCTTGTTGGTGCACAGCACAAATTAGTTATATATGGGGATGGTAGTTTTCTCAACTTCAGTTATCTCTGATGCAGCTTATAAGAAATAATTGTTGTTCTGTTAACTGAATACCACTCTGTAATTACAAAAAAAAAAGTTGCAGCTGTTTTGACATTCTGAATGCTTCTAAGTAAATACAATTTATTTTTTATTATTTTATTTTATTTTATTTTATTTTGAGTTGGAGTCTCACTCTGTCACTCAGACTGGAGTGCAGTGGCCACTCCCGGTCACTGCAGCCTCGACCTGCTGGGCTCTGGCGATCCTTCTGCCTCAGCCTTCCGAGTAGCTGGAATTACAGGGATGCACTACCACGCCCGGCTGATTTTTTGATTTTATTGTAGAGATGAGGTCTCGCTGCCCAGGCGGGTCCCGAACCCGCGGGCTCAGGCAATCCACTCACCTCAGCCTCCCAAAGGCACGGGATTACAGGCTGAGCCACCGAGCCCGGCTCAATACAATTTTTTTATTTAAAAAAATAATAATTCTGAATTTCTATGTAAGTTAATATAGCTTCAAAACACAAAAAGCAAAAATCAGGAGAACTAAAAGCTGAAATAGAAAAATCTACATTATAGTGGAATATTTAACCTACCTCTCTCAGAATCTGATAGAACAGAAAATCAGAAAGATGTAGAAGACCTGAACATTATTTGTAAATAACCTGATGATATACATTGAACAATGGGAGACTACACATCCTTTTCATATACACATGAAACAGTTAATAAAAATGACCACATGCTGTGCCATAAATCAGGTTGCAAGAAATTTCATAAAATTAAATAGTATAGACTGTTTTTAGACTACATTGCAATTAAGCTAGAAGTCAACTTAAAAAATAAAGTAATTTAAAGTCCCCTTAAGTTTGAAAATGAGTAAATTTACTTTATACAACCAGTGGAACAAAGAAGAAAAAATTCTCCATAGGAATTCAGCAATATTTGAAATTGAATAGTCATTAAAATACTACATATCAACATTGTGAGATACCTAAAACAATGCTTAGGGGGAATTTAGGGTCTAAATGCATACATCAGAAAAAGAGAAAAGGTTGTAAATGGTGCCACGTGGCATGTGGCGCAAAACTCTTGGATTGTTGGGCTCCTTTCTAAAATGAATTTTAGAGTGGCCTGCAAAGTTTTCAAAGTTTCTTAGAGAAAGAAGGGAGAAAAGAAATGGAGTCATGCCAGAGCTAGCATGGGTGAAAGAAACTGCACTTTTGCTTTTTACGATACACCTGATATACCTTCACCATGTTTAATATGCTGAAGAGGGTGGAGCCAAGGTAACCACCACTCTGGAGATGGACATCTCTGGGTTCTTGAAGGGTGTGGTCTTTTCTTGACCACATTGTCTTTTGTAGCAGACCTGCCAGACGTTTCCTTAGCTAAAATGTGGTCTTATTATCATTTCTATGGCTTTGGTTAGTTAAGGGGGTGGTATTCAGCCTTCTGCCTTACACAGGGAACCTGAAAGTTTCTTAGTGATTATTATGCTAAGCCATTAATTGAAAGATTGGGCTTTCCTATTCTTACATCTGATGTATTCTTTTGATTTGCTGAAAGGGGAGGGTAGGCTGCAGCTTGGCCTGTAGTAAAATGTAATTTTAAGAATGTCTGAATGCTTCCTAAAACCTACCTATGGGAAATTTATCTATCTATGTCTAACCTGTGCTAGCTACCCTGCTTTAGTAAATTAATTAGTTAAGCGAACAGTAAATTGGGCACTATCTACAGGGAAGCCAAGGATCCCCCGAAGTTACCCACTGGGAATGACTAGGAGATAAAGGGAAATGCACCCTCCATTAACTAAGAAATGTAGTTCCAGAAGGTGCAGTAGCATTAGAATCCTTGTCACGCCCTTCTCTAGGGCTATGATAAACTGGGTGGACATTAATGGGTCTCTGTGTCACAGGTTCTCCAAGACATCCACAGGTGGTTGATAAGGAATTCACGGCAGTCACGTCTGTTAGGGTACTGGACAGGGTGAGGGAAAATGGATGGAGCAAGGGGCACAGCACCACTGGGGTCAGCAAGCTGGAGGTGCCACACTGGGAACCCAGGGATCTGAGTAAATGCAGAGAATTGCAACACAAAAAAAGTTTAAGAAAGAAAAGTTTATTTAAAAGTAAATTAAAGAGAGAAAGAGAAGGAAGAAAGAAGATTCACCTCCCCAAGGTGGGGGAGGGGGACCAAAGCCAGGAAGCATGGCGACAGCCATGGCTCAAAGAGCACATGGCCACACCAGACTTTAGCAAGGTAATGGCCGCTGGTTGCTTGTGGTTGAGTCCTTTTAACCATTCCCCTAGATGGGGGAGGATCATTAAGGTGATTGGGTGATGGTCTGCTTTCATGTCATCACAAAGGGGCAGATAAGCGCAGGTACTGATGATGTCAGGTGATGGACAGCAGGCAGATGGGTGGGTTAGTCACATGATTGCTGCCATGGTGGGGCTTATCTGTGTCACATAGTTCACAGAGGGCTGCTTAGGTTAACCCTGGGGTGGGGAAGGATTCCTGCAAGAGACTTGTTAAACATTTGTAATTCACAAACTCAGGCATTTGCAACTCACAAACTCTTATGACTTTGGCCTTGACAAGGAATCAAAAGTTTACTAGAGATTATTACGCTAAACCATGAATGGTTGGGCTGTCTTGATCGTGCATTTGAAGGAGATTTGCCTAGGAGGGATGGGATAGGCTGCTGTTTGTCCTGTAGTAGAATGTCTGAATGCTATCTAATGGCTATGTTGAGGCAAAAGGACTAAACCCTTTCAACGTCTACCTGATTGCAACATCTCCAAGGTAAAGGACTTAAGCCAGGGTTTTGGGGGGCTACCGTGCCACACTCATCTAGAGTGTAGGTCTGCTCCCTGTCTATAGGGAGTGAACTTATCTTAAATAAATCTATTCTTCTCTCACCTCTGTGTGTTGCAATTCTTTGCATTGCTCAGATCTCTGGGTTGCCAGCGTGCACCTCTGGCTTGCCGGCTCCAATGGTGCTGTACCTCCTTGCACCTCTCCCTGTCCATCTGTTCCACCCTCATCCTATCCATACCCTAACATAGCCTAGGAAACATAAGGAGATCTTGTCTCTACAAAAATTAAAAAATTAGTTGGGTGTGGTGGCATGTATCTGTAATCCAAGCTACACAGGAGACTGAGGTGGAAGAATCACCTGAACCCAGAAGGTAGAGGTTGCAAGTGAATCATGATAGTGCACTGCCCTCCAGCCTGAGCAATAGAGTGAGATCCTGACTTGAAAGAAGGAAGGAAGGAAGGAAAGAAGGGGGGGAGGATGGAAGGAAGTGGAGAGAGAAAGAAAGAATGAAAAAACAGAGGGAGATGAGAGAGGAAGGAAAAGAGGGAGGGAGGGAGGAAAGGAGGAAAGAAAAGCTATCTTAAGTCAGGAATGAAGAAGAGGATATCATTAGAGATAATGCAGTCATTGAAAAGATATTAAAAAGCTATTTTACATAACTTTATGCTATTAAACTTAAAATTTAGATTGAAGGGAAAATTAGGTGCCACTAAAAATTCCTAAATACACACACACACACACACACAAAAATTTACCAAGGAGAAACAAATTATCAACACTAATAGCGATTTTAAAAATTAAATATATTATTAAAAATCTTCCCCCAGAAGAAAACCCAGGTTGAGAGGTCTTCACTGGTGAATTCTACAAAACACTTTCAGAAGGAATGATATCAGTTTTTTACACTATTCCAGAGAATTCAACAAAGGAAAGGGAGAGCGGAACACTATACATATTAGTATACATAATAACAAATTAACACAAAGTGGGTGACCTTAAGCAACAGAAACTTATTCTTCCATGTTCCATGTAAGGTCGGAGGTACCAGAGGGTGGGGCAGGCCTCAACAAGATGGCTCCAACCCGGACCAGGAGAATAATGGGCGGAAGTGAGCCAGCAAAAATGAATAACCGTAACTAAGACTCCAGCCACAAAGCCAGCCAGTACCTGTTACAGCGACTCTAGTGACCCCGGTCAGCCAATTGCCAACAGACGTGACAGCTGTCCCAACCAATAATCGCTCGCCCCAATCCTCCTCACAGCTTTCTCAGCGTGCCCTTTATAAACTTGTCGCCCATCTTGCTGGGCGCGACTTTTCCGGCCCACAGTTATATGGACTGGAGAACCTTGCCCGGGATTGTGCTAATAAATTTTTCTTGGCTCCTTTGTTTCCGTTTCACCTGGTCTGGTTTCGTTTACCTTACATTTGGTGCCGAAACCCGGGAGGACGGTGCGGGATCCCAGCGGGCTCCCCCATCCTCTCCCGATCCAGGACCTCTCTCGGGGACAGGACCTGGCCCCAGGACCTCAGTCAACGCGGTGAGTCCCTCGCTTTCCTGACTTCTCCTCCTACCCTCTGGGGTGCCCAGTCTGAAATCACAGCTGCGTCTGGGTTCACCGCTCCGGCATGGTGCCTCTGGCTCCGGTGTAGTGGCGATGTCCCTATCTCCGGATCACCAACCCTATAAAAGGAAGCAGATCTTCCTTTCTGTCCCTATTCTGAGTGGGTCTGGGACGCTTGGCTCACTTGTTTAGGGACCCAGGGATGGAGGTTGCGGCCATGGGAAGCCAGCCTTCTAAAACTGAGGCCCAGACCCCGTTGCGGTGTCTCATATCTAATCTGGCTACTCTGGGGTTGTCCGAGGATTTCTGTAAATGGAAGCTAATCTTCTTTTCCTCCTGGGCCTGGCCCTAATATCTTCTGGACAATCAGTCTTGCTGGCCTCCCGAGGGAACTTTCGATTTTGGCCTCCTCACTGATCTCAGTAATTATTGTCACCGGACTGGGAAATGATCTGAGGTCCCCTATGTCCAGGACTTTTGGGCATTGCGCTCCCGCCCAGACCTCTGCGTCAGATATTCCTCGGCTCAGGTCCTCCTGGCCAAATCCCCTAATAGGGGCTATCAGCCTCTCCCTGCGTCGGAATCTTCCTTTGCAGATTCTCCAGAGGACCTTGGCCTTCCCCCTCCGGCTCCTACGCCTCCTTCTTCTCCCCTCCCATCCGCCTCGTCTCAAAGGTCTGCTCTTTCTCAACCCCCTC